TTTTCCTTTGACCGTTCAATTAATTTTCTTTCGTAAATTTTATTTTTTTATTAAAATAAAATCATCGTGACTACAATTTAAAAAAAAGGGAGATTTTTTTTATTTCCTTCTCCCGACATTTTTTTATATTTTTTATTAAATATATAATATAACATTTCAAATTCAAAATAGAGAATGAAAATTTAATTTATTTTAAATTTATAAATATAATTTTTTTCTAAAAAAAAAAAGGAAGGAAATATTTTAATTATATAATTAATAACAACAACATTGTCATTTTTTGGTTTCTTTTTTAAAAAAATAAAAAAATGACTACAGAAATAACTAGTAATAATAATAATAATAATAATAATAATAATAATAATAATAATAATAATGTTAGTAATAATAACGATATGCAACCAGCGGTGGTTTCCTCTTCAAATATTCCCACTGATTTGTCAGGTATAAAAGCTACAGAATATCAACGTTCTTACTCTTGGAAACTACCAATGGTTAATAAAGTTAAACAAAAAGAATTTATAAAATCTGAATATCAACGAGAATTTACCTGGAGAGATAATAATAACAACAACACTAATTTAATATCTTCAACAAGTACTACTCCGATACCACCTTCGCCTATACCACCCTCTCCAATACCGCCTTCACCTATACCACCGCCTATATCATCATCATCATCAATTAATAATATTAGTAATGATTTATCAAAATTGAGACTTACCTCTAAATCTACTCCATCTTTATTAAACGATATTGCACTATTACCTGATAACAGCCACATTGATATTAAACACAATGGTGCTTTTGTAACTGAAATAGAAGAACTTGAAAGAATTCCGTATAACAACAATAACAACAACAATGATAATAAATGGAAAAATGATTTGAGAAAAGCCGATACTGTAGAGGTAACGAGTTTTTTCTTTTTTTTTTTTTTTTTATTAAAAAAATTTTTTTTGAAATTTTTATTAATAATAATATTTTTTATTGCACACATTATTTTACATATATATATGCGTACAAATATATATATGTATGCTATTTATTTCCTCTTTATTTATTTATATAGTCAAAATTTGATCCACAAACCAAAAAAATTATCGCATTGGAAGCTGATCGTCTCTCAAAAAAAATAAGATCTTATTCAATGTATTCACTTCACGACCAATTGAAAACATCAGA